AGCAACGTTGAGAAGTGAGCTCTACGCCTTGTTTCAGTTTGTTGATGTTTCACGTCCCCTAATTTTTCTCGCTACGCGTAATTGCCCTTATGATGCGTGTCTACGCACAATGTCTCGATCATTACTCAATTGAAGGGCTAGAAGGTGTCGGATTTCTGGCCATGTTTAGGAAATTTGCGCTTATCGTACGTAGATCCTGGGCCTTGCAAAAGACGTCAGTGGTCGCGGGAAGCTGTTTCAAAACACGGGAGGGAGCGCGGGGAGGGAACGTTTACGTTTGTTATGCAGCGCCGCGTACTGAGTTATGGCGTATTTCGTCACCAAAACATGAATGTCATCCATCGCGATATGATCAAAGACATTGCAGAAACACTAAAGCTGCACCAGTGTGTACTGCCTAAAGGTACTCTTCGGTACTTGCCAACAGCACTCGTTACCTTGAGGTTATTCTGCTCCCTTGGCCAGGCCATGCCATGTGGCCTTGATTATGTCCGGAACTTCCAAGGTGCGGGCGCGACACCGAGGACCCAGTTACAGTTCATCATGACTGTCAACTTCCTTGTTCTGGCCTTTAAGTTTGTCCTTGGAACTTCGGATTCGGGTTCAACGGCAGCCGAAGGTCTATTCTTCGGCAGTGACTCTTCAAAGTCCCGAGCGTGAGGAAGCAGACGGGCAGTGGTGATCTTCCGTGTCTTCCGCGCCCGTTGCAAAAGCTGCAAGGTTCACATGGATTAGTCAATTGAGCCGCAGAAGTCAGTTTGAACTTGATCCGACGGTAACTGCCTGTAAGGTAAGAGGTAAGGTAGGCATCCAGACAGCTATTGTGGGGGATGTCAGCTCCCTGCTGCGCCTGAACGTGGACTGTGCTTAAGAGAATCTCGATGACGATGATATCTCAGCTAGAGGCACTACATGCAGGAACATGTCATGCGTCTTTTTGGCGTGCATTATCTCCAAAACTTGACATACGTCGAACCGGCCGTTTCAGAACATCGACTTCTTCCAAGCATCTCGGCAACTTTGCACAGATATCTCGGCAATCCTTCGCAGTTACAAGTTTCCCACTAACATTGTCTGCCCTGCTTGTTACATCAACTAAGAGACTCGTCTATCCCAAGTCCCCACCAACTCGGCATCCAATCGCATTAGAGAATTGCATGCTCCGGACTTTCGGCTCCTGCTACTGTAACTGAACGGGCCTGCTCCGATCATTCTCTGCAGTGAGTGGGTGGGTGACAGTAACTATGGATACAAACCACTGCAGCCGAATTGATGCCAAGGGCTTGGATGAGCTCAACTTGACAGAGCCTTGTGGTAAGCTACTGGTGTTGCGCGATGACTCTTGGCCAACCACTTCAGAACTGCTAGTTCTTGATCTACCGGCTAGCTAAGCTACCGGCGAATTTATGCCCTCCCTTGCCTGGCCTATCACGTAAGAGGAGATGCAATATCGCTTTCACATTTAAGAAAGCCCATCACGATCTGTTCGATCGAGTTATCGCATGATTCAACGTCTTTCACACCATCATTCGTTGGCCGAGATTGTTTCGACGTTCACTAGGAGATAGCACACTACTCAAGACTGCAAGCTCAGGGGAGAGTGAGTGAGAAGTTGGTCTCTTGGTTTCCATCACTCACCTTAACCTCCTCGTAAGTTTCGTTTCTATTCCGGCTGTTTCTGCAGCCGGATCTAATAAGTAATCCCTGCTCGCATCTTTATCGGTCCATTGCGTTTCTATTGGCTTCCGCCCTTTCACATCAGACATAGGGTGTCATGAAGAAGGAAAATTCCTGGCCCTGTGACCGATATACTTAGCAAATGTAGCATCAAGTATCTTTTCTGTTAACATGAATGTGGATTCATGGCCAAAAATGGAATTTGCATGCGCTGTACTACAGAACAGAGCCGAAGGAACGCTTTGGCCTGTGTGCTCGACCACCATTTCCCATCACGACGGCGTTACATCGAACAATGGAGTACTTTTCCGGCTTCACACTGAAGGTTCTGGAGTCAGTTCTACCATAAATGTATATAGTAAGTATCGTGTTGTTCATCGGAGTATCTCAATGTTATTGCAGAGCTCTCTGATCAAATGAGAGCGAGGTTCAAACGTTCGGCAAATCTAACTGCCTGTAAGACACTCCATTGTCATGTCTTCTCTAGGAAGCTTACTGAAGCAAATACTATTGAGAGAGCTTACTGCTATGGAGATTCTTTTCCCACATTCATTCCTTCATTATTGGTATAAGGCTTGTGAGTAAATCGTTGCCAGCATTTGTGTATATAGTGCCAATACGCTGTAACGGCCTCCTGTTATATATGATGGCCTTAGGAAGGGCTTCACATGAACGAAATACAATACAGAAGAGGGATTTGCTCGAGTTCGTTATTTCTCTTGACACTAGAAATCATGTGGATGTCGTGGCCTTTATGAGCGGCATTGTCTCTTGCTGTTGTCCACAGCGTCTCATTCATCAAGATATCTAACGTTCACTGCTCCAGCTGTACCATATCATCACTGCTTAATTTGCTATAGAAACTTCAGCGAAGACATCATACTCAAAAGGCCGTCGGAATCCCCCATGATCTATTTTCGGGAACTGCCATCATGACATAGGAACTTGAATCTCGGAGCAGTAATTGCAATGAGCTATATCCAGTTCATAACTAGCTACTATCTACCACACGAGCCAAACTGCCCATTCTATGCTTAAAAACCTATACATTTACATATCCCATTCTCATTACCGTATACACATTCAAATCAAACCGCGCATTGTAGCGAATAACTCACCACATCCTCCGTTGGTAGTAAAGCCCATCTTCAGCCTGGGCTGACTTCTGGAGCTCTTGCTTGATCATCTTCCTCCTCTTTGCTTTGCTCACAGGCTTGTGGTTCTTGACTGGTGCCTCGACGTGCCCTTCAGGTGTTGACATCTTGTCCACCACTTTGGCCTGTAGCTGCTTTATAATCTCAATATTTCTCTCCAGTGCGGCATTGCCCTCAACATCGACATTGGGTTTCGTCTCCTTGATCTCAACTAAGAGCCGCTGCCTTCGCACTTCAATATCTGCTTCTGTGTCTATGTCGATGACACGACCATCCTCCAGCTCCTTCGTCCGTACTTGAAACTTCTCGGGGAGGTAGACTTTTGGCGACGGGCGTGTTTCTTGTCGTGGTTTGATCGCTGAGCGGAGTTGAGTGAGTGTTCTTTGCTGGATTATGTAGCCACTAATAAAGAGCGCAAATGTACAAATAACCACTGTAGTAGAGTGTTTTATTAGCATGACATGACCTGGAATGCGGATGGCGGTGGAGAGGTTGAGAATATGTCTTACCGACGAAGCCCGATACGATGACCTGCACTTGACCGGATGAAAGAAGCAATCTGGCCATTTTGAGAAAGTTGCCGAATTGCAGCAACACAGGACTGCAAATGTTGAGCTTTCACAATTTTGCGTACCTTGTAGATAGTTGTGAGTTGGTTGTCGTCATCCTTGACCGCTGTGTAAGTGCGCTGTTGACATCGTTGACACAGCAACTTCCTTATCAGTTTATCGGACCCAAGCTTCACTGATTTCCAACACCAAGCTTTCATACAGTCCCCACCATCTCCAACCTCGACAATCGACAACTTTCTAAACCACGACCACACAATGAGCAGAAACAAAGATACAGTTCACGCCGATGCGCGTCGCTTCCTCGATGAGCGTGGTTCTAACGTATCGGTCGCGCCAAACGGCCTCAATCCCGCGACTATTATGGAAAAAGCCGTCAAGGATCGCATCGTCGACTCATACTTTTACAAAGAGCAATGCTTTGCGCTCAACGAAGCGGATATTGTAGATCGCGTCGTCGAGCATGTTAATTTCATTGGTGGAACGTACGGTGTCACACAAAAGCCCAGTCCATTCCTGTGTCTTGCTTTTAAGCTACTTGAACTTTCGCCCAGCGATGCAGTGCTCATGGAATACCTGAAATACGGCGGAGATGCCTTTAAATACCTGCGCGCGCTTGCGTGCTTCTACTTCCGACTCACGAGAAAAGCGAAGGATGTGTACGAGATGCTGGAGCCGTTCCTTGAGGATAGGCGCAAACTTCGACGGAGAGGAAGGGCGGGCGTGGTGTTGACGTTTATGGATGAATTTGTGGATGAGCTGTTGACGAAGGAGCGAGTATGTGGTACAAGTCTCTGGAAGATGCCAAAGCGAGAGGTTTTGGAAGATTTGGAAATTCTCGAACCAAGGGTCAGTCCCCTGGGTGACCTTGAGGATCTTCTGGAGGAAGAGGACGAAGCAGAGAAAGAGAACGGAACAAGAGAAGAATCTGGAGAGATCTCCGATAGAGACGATATGGAAGTTGATCGCGATGAGAGGAGAAGTCAGAGTCGAAGCCGCAGTCGAAGTCAAAGTAATAGCAGAAGTCGCTCACCTTGATCAGATGGACTGTCTCCGCACAGTAACCAAAAGAGCTGACTCGCAAAACACCAGAATTCATCACTAAAAGCCAGAACTTGTGGTTCTACTCTCCAACCGCTTCAAGGAGTTATGGATAGTGCCGTTGCGGCGAGCGAACGACAAAGCTTCTGCCTGGCTCATCAATGCGCCATGCGCAGCTCGATCTGTGGGCAATGCCTCATCTCCGGCAGCATCTACAGGTGTTGGATGCCTACAGCAACGACACAAGACGAAAGAGATCGTATCATATCACGCTGATAGGGTGACACTCCAAAGTCGAGAAAGGCAGAGCTAGGGCTCTTGCATGCTTGTCAGACCCTTCTTCACCTACTTGTTGTATAGGGCATTGGGGCCTTTCAAACTGGACCACGGCAAACATACAGTTAGCCGGATACGCCTCAAGGATCCCCATCTATTGCAAAATAGGAAGTTTGATGGAGGAATAGGCGAACTACTCGGATATGCTCAATATGCTTCTGTCGTCTAATTGTTCTATTGTACAATAATATCATAAAAATCATCGCTTGTAATATATTTACAATCATGCCACCAGGGATGTTAACTTTTCTGCCAGTTGAAGCACCCTCTGGTCGTCCCAGAATTGTCCGATGACCTGCAGCCCCGTTGGAAACTGACTTCCCTCCACCTTAGCTGGAACACTCACAGCTGGCAAACCTGCCAAACTTGCTGGAACCGTAAAGACATCGTTCATGTAAACGTCTACACTGCTCTGCTGCTTGAGATCTTCCAGTCTCGGAGGAAATGTTGGCGCTGTAGGAGAGAGGATGAAGTCCACCTGAACAGGGCCAGTCTTGTCCTCCATTCCGGTGGCCTCAGCCATGTCACTCAAGTCAAACTGCGCAGGCTCATAAAGGGGGTTGTCAAGTCGGAAGACTCGATCAAAATCCTTCTGGACCATCCGTCGGACCTTTTGGGCTTGAATGAAGTAGTTGTCTATTGCCTCAGAACTGAGACTGTATGTGCCAAGGAGAATTCGTCGCTTGACCTCTTCGCCGAAGCCCTCGCCACGGGTATCAGAGTAGAGAGTCTCACCCACTGCATCGCTACCTTCACCGCGCTTTCCGTAGCGAACACCGTCGTACTTGGCGAGATTCGAAGATGCTTCCGCAGGAGCGAGGACATAGTAAGCGCACAGGGCTTCTTTTGTGGAAGGTAGAGAGATGGGAACTAGAGTTGCGCCCTGAGCCTCGAGAGCAGAGGCAGCAGAAACCCAAGCGGCGCGGATAGAAGGGTCAAGCTCGTCAATATTGTATTCAAGAGGAATGCCGATATTTAGTCTTGATAGCTCGGGAAGGGTGGATGGTATTGATGAAGCACATCGTTTTCGAGATGCGGCGGGTAGTGATGTTGGATCCTCAGAGTCATGTTCGTTGTGCATGCCAGTCTCGAATATGAGGTTGTGTATCGGCTTGACATCCTTAGACAAGAAGCCGACGGTATCCAGAGAGTTTGCATATGGAACTACACCAAACCGAGAAACCATGCCATAACTAGGCTTGTAGCCAACTACCCCGGTATACGCTGCAGGCAGTCGAATTGAACCACCTGTATCTGTTCCTAGGGCGATGTCGGCATCTCCTAGTCGTACTGCAACGGCGCTTCCACCTGAGCTTCCGCCGGCTGACACTTCGTCATCCTTGGCTAGGGGATTCCTCACTGCGCCATTTACTGAGTTTGTCGAATGAGAACCCATACCGAATTCATCCATGTTGGTCTTTCCAACCACTGTTGCTCCGCGTTTGCGCAGTTGACGAACCACAGTAGCTTCGAAGGGTGAAGAGTGAGAAGAGAGAATGGTTGAGGCGCATTGTGTTGGGAAGTCAGCGGTTGCGATATTGTCCTTGATTGCCAGAGTAAAAGACTTCACTTCCTTACACATGAAGGAAAGGAAATCAGCATTCGGGTCTGTGGAGGCAAGCTTGGCTGTATTTGTTAGCTGGGTTCGATTAAGAAGATGAGTTACTCACTGCGACCAACAAAGTGGTTGTAGTTACTATGAGAACGCCATTGTGTTACAGGACATGCATAAACTTTCGGACAAGGCTTATTGTGTGATAGAGCTGATTTGTAGGCTAATTGCCGCACACGAGACACGCTCATGGTGGACTTATTATCAACATGAGAAATTGTTATACTCAAGGTGTTAGTTGAGGGTCATGTTCAAAAAAGCGGGATGAGCTGCAGCTTCCCGGCTTATCGATAAGACACCTGCAACCCATCTTTTTCAAGGGTCTGATCACATCCTCCTAGGTAATTTCTCCAAGCTCGAACAAGCACCAGGACCATATTAAAATGGCAGCCAAACGAGATCTCGAGGACCTTGATGAAGGTGAAGTATTAGCCCCTCAACCAAAGCGACCAAAGAAACAAGGCGGCAAAACGCGACAGCACCAAAACTCTGGCATCGACCCAACCTGGGGCCAGAAATATGTCTTTGCAGGAAACGGCTATACAACCACGATCCCGGAGGGAGAAGAGGACGATTTCGAAGATGATTCAGAAGCGATGGCATATTTGAACTCTGTCAGGTATGTTCCCCCCTTATGCGCGTTTGCCGACTTTGCTGAAGATCGCAAAACTGCAGAGAACAGATGCTGATATGGTGAGTACTATAGACAAGAAGCGAACGGGATCCCCCATCTCCTCGTTGCGCCAAAAGTTCAAATAGGACCTCAGTTACCCCCAGAGCTTCGAAACGACGATCAAGAACAAGACGAGCAATCTATCGACAGGAGTGTATACAACAATGGTGTCGGCGATTCTCGAGGCTGGTATGAAGACGGCGCGTATATGGCAAAGCCTGACAACGCGGCTGAAGATGACAATTACGAAGGCGGCGAATACCCGGATGACTACGACAATGAAAGCTACGAAGAAGCCGCCCTGAATGAAGCTTACTTTGCATCGGTTATGGAACAATACCTCCGCTTACGTTCGATTCTTCACGCCGATCTTCCCTCCAACGCTGTCTCCCGTGTCGTCAAAGCCCGACTAAAAACTGATGCACCTGCGGAGAATCAGTCCGCGGCGATAGCCACATGGTCACGACTCCTTCGCGAAACAGATCCCCACCCACTTCAAGTCGCCCTTATGTCTAAAGACACGACAATACGCATCTTACGCATTCTCCTTGGCGGTAAATTCCTTCGTCAAGGGTATACACTTCCAGAACGTACAAGCCGTTGGATCTGGGCACTGCTTGCTAGAATGCCGGACAAGGGCGAGCTTAACTACGCCGAAATTGGCTGGATTCGTGACCTTGGTCGCAGAGCAGTTCTCTTAGGTCGGAGCCTAGCAGAGATGGCGGCTCTAAGGGAGGAGCTTGCAGAGGGCGGGCTAGGGGCCCATGAAGCAGTTGATGGAAGCAGTAGTGATGAAGAAGTCCTGGCAGATCCAGAGGATATGGAGGTCGAAGGTGCTCTCAGCCCTGGGCAGGATGAGGAAGAGCCAACGCCAACTGAGTCCAGAAAAGAGGCTGAGAAGACACTCGAATTCACGGAACCTGCAACAAAATCTCCCCTAAAGCCTGATGCTGAAGAAGGTGAGATAGACGACGAAGACGAAGACGAAGATGTGGCCATGGAGATCGCGACCGACTCAGAAGTTGAAGAAGGTGAAGTTGCTGCCAATGAGCCCCAGGAGAACCTCGAGGAAGCAAGAGAACGACTACTTGCTCGGATCAGTAATGGAATGACATCAGAAGACGAGGAGGATCTTGAAAAGGAGAGTGCCAAACAGCGACTGCGAGCGAATTTGCGTGCAACTCTTAACATGATCTTGACGATAGCTGGTGAGTTTTACGGACAACGAGATCTGCTAGAATTCCGAGAGCCATTTGTTGGTATGTAAGTTGGTGGACAAGGATATAATTGTAGGTCTTGTAACGACCGGTTTGTCTTATTTGCATACAGCATACAGCGAGTCCCGATGCACTTTTGCCTTCCAATAACATACAGCCGGTCTAGAGCATTAATAAATCATAATCCTGAACGCCTGACCCAAAGCTTGTGACGCCGTGACATAGCTTCTAGTGAACATGAAAACATACAAAGCTCTGCTTGAGCCGATAAACAAAACTGCGACCTAGTTGGCCAGATCCATTTCGGGGTTGACGAGGAAATCAGCTTCATCAAAGTCAGATCCTGAGTTGCGGTTGTCCTGGCCAAAGCTCCTTAAACCGGCACCCTTTCGTGAAACTGGGATAGCCATGACTCGAGGGTTTCCATGGTTGCCCATGTCAAAGCTCGAGTCAAGGTCATCGTCATCCTCGTCGAAAATTCGCTTTCGAGAACCGTCGTACGACTCGCCCTCCGCACTCTCTTGCGACATGGTGAGCTCAGGGATAGCATCGAGGTCTGGAACATCATCCTCGAATTCTGGCTGGGTGTCGAGGCCGCCGACCTTGTTGATTCCGCAGAAGGGGAGAAGCTCTCGGGAAGCACCCTTGCCAGGTGCCTTTGCAGTAGCGGTAGAAACGTGTACAGGCGCATTGTCTGTCCAGAGCTTGAAAGCACTGGTGCCCTTTGTCTTGTAGCCTTCGGGAACGGACTTACGAACTCGCATACCGACACTAAGTAGGTTGGCCTGGACGTTTGAAGGAAGAGTAGGTTGCATGGGCTTGTCGGCCTCAGCAATCGCAGACCCATCGGATGATCGGGCATTGAAGAAAGAAGTGATTTGGCGTTGAGATGGGTCGGCGGAGGCGCCGGCAAATTGACGCTTGATACGAGGAGTAGACATGACAAGATTTGGAGCAAGTTGGCGTGAAGTTGTAGTGTTAATTGATTCAACAAGAATCGTCAATAGTTGTTATGTTGATGGAACGACGTTGCGGACAAGATCGCAGTAAGCAACGAGTGACTAGAAAGTCAAGCACAAAAACAGAGTTCAAGAGTGGTAGAGTGGGGAGTTTGTCAATGGACAGAATTGAAGAAACGTAGAGTCTTGTAAGAACGCAGATGACGTCGCAATCGAGGGGAGTAAACAAGGGTTCAAAAGGAGAACAGAGCGAAGAGGGGGCTTCTGCGTGAAACAAGTCGAAGGCCAATATTGGCTTGTTGCTGGGGTGAGGAAAAGAACAGGGTCAAAGAAAGCGAAGCGCCCCTGTCCTGCCCCAAGACAGCGACGATCCCCAAAGCGGCCTTGACAGTCCAATCATTTAACAGCAATTTCTCACTGTGGAACCCGGGCTCCCGCGTTTTGACGCCATCTTGTCGTGCCGCTTTCGTGTAAATTGATAATTGGAGATTTGGCTATTGGTCTGCTGAGTCATCCGATAAGGTGCACTTTTGTGTCATCAGCCTCTCTGTATTGAGGGAAGAGACGGAAACGCCGGTGGATGCTATGTAGTCGCACACAATTCAAAATTTACATACGGAGTAAGTTTTAGTTTTATTCATATAAAACTAGGTCAATATGGGAGACTGAACATTTAAGAAGTATCCGTAATTCTATCGGAATGGCTTGATCCTGCACTTCCCCCCCAAACATCAGCAAGGGTGCAGACGGAGGCAAGGCGGTGGCAAACCGACACCCGAAGGCAAGCTGGTAAGCTGGCAAGCTAGGCAAGCATGCAAGTTCTAGCAATTTCAGGATCGACAACGCCGAACTTGAATTGCTTTATGTAACATTGTTGAAGCTCCACTTCGAATTTGCCGTCCATGGTAAACTCAAGGCAAGATAAAAGACTTTACCGACTCGGGTATATTGTCACACGAGGCTGTCACATGACATACAAGATCATCAATTGTAACAATGTACTAGTGTCTTTCACGCTCAATACTTTCATGGTGTACGTTGGAGTTTTTATCATGAGATTGAGCTGAAATTATCAGGAAATCCATTCTATTTGATACCATATGTTCTGAAGTTTGGATCCTATCAAGTCTCATTCCATCCAATCCTAATTAACTATGACTCGAACTACAAATTACAATGCATTCAGCTTGAGGCAAAATACCTTCAAACAGCATTTTGCGGGGTAATTGGTTCCCCAGGTTCTCATGAAAAATTAGTTAACATTAATATTGCTTAGTTGAGTTGCCTTAGGCATTCCTGGGCGACAGAGCGGATAAGCCTCTACGGGTCGAGTGAGTCGACGGCCAGGCAAACTGCTAGGAGGAGGGGCCTAGGCTACTGTCGATGACGCCGTATATCACCAATCATCGTAAAGTAGATTCAACTCAACAGAGATAGCTCTGGTTAGGAGTGTGGTCGGCAAAGATGATCAAGAAATCGAGAAGTCATAGCATCATTAACAGCAGTGTGCTCTACGACAGGCACGATAGCATCACAACTCAATCGCATCGACTAGAAACATTCACGTCAACAAGAAGGTGATGTGGAAACCATTGTGAATTTCGCAAAAGCACAGTGACCATCCTCCGCTACCCACTGCACCCGGGTATGAAGCGATCATCAACCAGCAGTTCCACGTCCTCGTGTCCAGCTAGCCTAGCCAGGCCAGTCCGGACACTCGTGAAGGCTTTCTCCTGCTTTCCACCCATGCAGTGCTTTTTTTCCCTTCCTGCCTCGAGAAGACTCTTTAGTACAAGGCGCGCAACGGAAAAACAAAAAGAAGAATGATGTGCCATGCAAGATATCCGGAGACCCCAAACGCCCCTATTCTGGGTGCCCCATCTTCTATCTGCAAAGAGGTTTTTGGTAAATGTTCGCAACGTCGGTTTGTTCTATCCGTCCATGTCGAGGTTGTGTTTTTGCAGATCCGAGATGACCACCATGAGTTGAACCGTAAGAGTCATGAGTACCCAAGGAGATAAAACCGCCGCGAAGCAGTTTACTTCCGTCGGAAAGAGCAGCCCTCGGTCAATCTAGCCTTACCACCGGTAGGCTGGCAGAGGACAGTGGTGCATCCCTGGC